CAGTGTGGCCCCTATATGTCCAAACTAGCAAGCAGACTAAGTTCTGCAGCCTATGCTGTAAAAAATATTAGAGGTCTCACTAGTGTCGAGACAGCTAGATTAGTTTATTTCAGTTATTTCCATAGCATAATGTCTTATGGGATTTTGCTATGGGGAAATGCGGCTGATTCAGAAACTATTTTTGTTTTACAGAAGAGGGCCATTAGAGCTATTTACAATCTAAAACCGAGAGAGTCTCTTAGAGATAAATTTAAAGAAATAAATATATTAACTTTGGCCTCTCAGTATATTTACGAAAATTTAATGTATGTTCACAAAAACAAAGATAGTTTTAGTAAAAAAAAGTGATATACATTCTGTAAACACTAGGAACAAACACAAGCTAGTGATGCCAGTATCTCGACTCCACAGAGTCAGTAATTCATTCTTGGGGCAATGTATACGCTATTACAACAAGGTCCCGGAAAGTGTACAGGTTCTTTCTATTACCAAGTTGAAATGTTTTATTAAGCTGAAACTGTATAAAAAGGGTTATTATAGTATAAATGAATACATGGTTGATAATAACCCCTGGGAATGAGGTGGTCGCTTCCAAGCGGTTTCTAAAATAAATTTTGTAAATAATTCGTAATCATTTATATTGTAAAATTTATTTTTAAAAAAAGTCCCGCTGAGTTTCTTGCTAGTTCTTCCCAGGACAGAGGGTTTTTTTTTCGAACCAGTGGTAAAGTAAAAAATGACTTTCAATAAGAATTACACATGTAATGTATATTAATGTTTCTTTTCACTGCCCCGTTGATCTAGTGGTCCTAAACGTGATTGCTGATCATGAGGCCCCGAGTTCGAATCCCGCACCTGTGCTTGCGCAATGCGCATACACTAGGGCACTATATAGGGCTGGCTTATATATATAGGACTGGCCGCCGTGACCGAAATTCAGTCTAGAGGACATTATTCTTTGTACTTTGGTTCCTTCCTTTCCATTGTAATTAATAAGGCATAAAATCTATATCTAACGTTAATTTAAATACTCAATAATAATTAGCTTACTATCATATAATTCATTTTTATAGGATAAGGGTGACAAACGAACGCACAGTCCGCCTGATGGTAAGTGGTTGCTGAGGCCCATAGACATCCACATCTATCCTCGATTACGAATGAAAATGAAGATGCGTTCTCACCAGTGAGAACTAAGATGGAATGCTTCGTTACCAGTGAAAAGAGTCTGCTCTATACTCACCATAGGAAACACAGTAGCATTAAGCTGCTATTTTACGCTGATATTCTGTGAGAGCGTGGCCCTTCCCCGGTAGAGCCGACCCATTCGTGCTACAACGATAATAAGCTGTAAGATGACTTTACCACGTATATTTTTGATCTAAATAAGCCGATTGCCCCGTTAAGTTGTATTAAAGAAAACAAACATGGAAAATTATCAAGGTTGGTTACCGTCGCATATATCGTGCAATTTAACAAGTTACACGCATTTCGTAAATCGTAATAGATAAAATATTTAAACGCATTTAAGATATATAGAGGGACGTGAATTAAAATTCGAAAACTAAAACTAGTTTAAATAAAACTAGTTTTTACAGATTTTATCGCCTATATTAACTTATTTTATATTTCCGACGTTTTGAGCACTTTACAGCACTCATGGTCACGGGGCGGACTAAGGTGTTCGAAGTCCCAATGTCATGGTTAACCACGGTAGTTCAAATTAAAATTATTAATTTTTGGTCCGATCTAAGAAATATGAACGTATAGTATCTTGAAGTCTTGCAGTTGTATGCTTGGGTTGGGATTTCATTTTATTAATTATAGAATCCCAAGCAGATGGTAGCACTCAGCCATCTGCTCTATTGAAATTAGGATGTTTTAATGATTTCAATAGCTTCGTGAATCATTATTGGAGGGAATCGGAGTTCTTTAGCAAGGATTTGGCGTTAATCAATTATGATGTAGTGACGGGGGCGATCCTATACGTTTTTAAATATACAAAAATACAAATAAAAAAATTACACAATTATTGTAATTGTCTTATTTCGACATTTTACGTATTTTAGACTTAAACATTTTTTATTTGTTTGCCCACAAAACTACTTATGTGTATATTTGTATTTGGACACGAAGATATGACTAGAAGATACGCTACAAGGGTTGTTGTGGCTGCTTGCCACTTCCTGCGATAAAGAACGATAAAGCGCAAGACGATACACACGACCAACAACAACGACGGTCGTGCTCACATTACAAGGTAAGAAACAATAGCTAAAGAACTTTCAGAAAATAAATATTAAAAAGGCACCTATTTTATAAACACGTAATAACTAACAACTGAACTTCTATTGAAATAAATTAGAAACTTTATTTTGTTAATTCAATACATTCAATACAAATATATAAAATTGAAGTGTCTGTTTGTATTGTCAAAATTACAGCTTTTTACTAAATGCATATGAAAGTATATACGGTACTAATAACAAAAATACAATTTTTAAAGTTTTTGTCTGTCTGTCTGTCTGTCCGTCTGTCTGTCTGTGTGTTTGTTCCGGCTAATCTCCGAAACGGCTGGACTGATTTTGACGGGATTTTCACTGGCAGATGGCTGATGTCACAAGGAGTAACTTAGGCTACTTTTATTTTAGAAAAAGAATTAGGGTTACGCGCAAAAAAATTAAAACCCCAAAATAACACGCGGGCGAAGTCGCGGGGAACAGCTAGTATTAGTATAACATTAAAAAAAAACTCATTGCAAGATTCCGGAAAAGGAAATACATACCACGTATCATCTACATGGTTAGTAGTTCTTGATAATATGGTAGATTCTTCCCTAAAATAATTGATGTAAAACGATATATTCATTTTAGTAAATGTTGACTCACTGTGTACTTTTGAATGTTTTCATTTCCCGACAGTATTTTATGTTGCACGTATTTATGTTAATTTCATTGTTCCATGTTCACGTCCCTTTTCTCTTGGCATGACAAAACTCAGCTCATAATAGTTATCGAGAAAGCTCATGCCGCCTCAAAAGCAACAAAACTTGCCTAGAAAAGTATGTCTAGAATTTTTGGGGCTGTGAGGAAGCGAGAAACCTACCTCGTTTTGTAGCGAATTGTGATGTGGTATGAAACGTGGGCAATCACTTCGAGCCAGAGTCCAGAAAAAAGCCACAAAAAGGGTACACTATCCCGGAAAGTTGATGGTTGCGATTGTTTGACGATCAACGACGAAATTGTATTATTAGATTATAGAGAAAAAAAAGCTTCAACTACCGGAGAGGACTAGGCTTCAATTTTATAGCGGCAAAAAGACATTTTAGCTAGGGAAAAATTACAAGGCTGTGTTCCTTTTATAAGACAGTGCGCCGGTCCACGAGAGCAATGTTGCTATTGCTATAAAGGCTGCTCTTTACGAATAGAAGTTGGAGCAACTCGTCCACCACCCACATTACAATCCAGACTTGACCCTCAGCGACTTCGTTAATAAATGAAAAGTAATTCATTTTACTCAATGTTGTAAAAATAACTTCTATTCCTAGTCCTATTAAAAATTAATAAAAATATAAACGGCCGTTAGTTTGGACTTTTTTTTTAAATCGATCAATTCCTATTTTTACATAAAAAAGCGAGCAATTGCGCATTTAAATTAAGCATTTTGTGAGCAATTAAGAGCACGTATTCATTTAAGAAAAGTTCATTGGTTTTAAGTATAATAGGCAAAAACAATTTACAGCTCACTTGTCCTAAGCCATTCGTGCCAATCGTAGGGGTAGGCTGGTGTGCAGTGTCAGACAAACTGCGATGATACACATACATAAATTAGAAATATACAGATACACAAACGTTAGGCTTCAGGTGGAATTTGGGCCTAGGACCAAACAACCAGACTCAGTAGTTAGGTTAGGTTAATTTACTATTCTATTCAAATTTACTAAACAAAGAACTATTACATAGCAAATATTATTAAATTGACACAATCACATAAATAGAATAACACAAAACTTTAAATAAAACCATATCACTGTAAGAAATTGTTACAAAAATTTACAATAAAATCCTACAATAAATCTATTTAGTTTAAAACAAATTTTAAACATTCTAGGCTAGTTCATTCCTTACACAACAATTGCATGGTAAAGGTAACGGACTGCGAAACTTAAAAAAAAAACAGTGGGTTGGAATCTGCCCTCTGACTACTGTTGTGATCTACTTCTAGCCCAAACATTTGAAACAATAGAAATGGTTAACCAAGTTAACTTCGCAGTTAGCAATTGGCCAGTGCCCATAAGTGACTTTCTACACTACATTATGCCTCTTTTTTTTAAATTGGCTAAAAATAAACAACTATAGTAAATATCCCCCACCCCCCTCAATAGGCTATCTATGGGGAAAGCCTATGTTCAGCCGTGTACTTTTGATAGCCGATTATGAATGAACGTTTATGTTTTAAAGTAAATATGTTATTTGGTTCGTTCATAGATTGATCCATCGGGCATTGTATTCTAGTCTTATTAAAATTAAGTTTAAGCAATTGATCCAACAACTGGCCACTGATCTACCACATCAAGTATGTTGTCTTTTTAGTGCACAAGTTGGTATCATTCCTTATTTTAGTACACCCTCTCCGTTAATCTTTTTCTCTATAATAATATTTCATTGGTGTACAAAAAACATTATTGTATCGTTTTTTATTAGCAATGCTATTAACATTGTTAATATTCCTGTTAATCATCAGTCATCCCGTGGGAGTCGTAAGAGGCGACAGACGGACACAGAAATGGGTAGAGGCGAGAAGGTTTCTTTACTCATGTGGTTAACAACTTAAATTAAAAAACTGTGGTTGCCAACCCGCTTGTCAAGCTGACAACTCTGGCAAATATCTCCTCTATGAGGCAATCTATGAGGGAGGCCCATTCAGCAGTGGACTTTAATAGGCTGTAATGGTAACAGTATTAAGCAACATATATGTGTACGTACACGGTGTGTGCGTACCTTTGAGTCGAAGAAGGATGCGTGGAAGTGTGGCGTGGTGCCGGCGACGGAGGCGAGGTGCAGCGTGGTGTTGGCGGTGTTGGTGACGGTGACGAGGCGCGCGTGCGGCGCCGCCAGCGCGGCCGCGCCGAACTGCAGCGCGGCCGGCTGCAGGCGCACGCCCTCCGCCCCGGAGCCCCCGCCGCCCTTCGCCTCGCCGCCCCATTCCTGCACACGCCCACACCGCTACTTCGTGCTAACACTACTTTTTTTAACAGGAGTGACAAACTATTTTTGCACGTGGTAGAACCACGCTGCAGCTTTATTATGAATACTAAAGCCTCAGCTCGACCAGGGAAGACCACGCTCTAACAGAATACCAGCATAAAATAGCAGCTTGATGCTGTTGAGTTTTGAATGGTAAGTCAGGGTTGGTCTGCATTTTGATTCTTAGTGGGGGATAGATGTAGATGTCTATGATCTCTTTAAAAAGTCCCACTGGATTTCTTGCTGGTTCTTCCCAGGACAGCGTTTTTTTCCGACTCAGGGCTTAAACTTAAATGACTTAAAGAAGTATTCTTGTAATTTATATTGAATAATGATTATGATTCTAATTTATTCTATGGGCCACAGTCTCCACTTACCATTAGGTGAACGGTGTGCTCATTTTTGTTACCCTTACTCTATGAAACAGCCTACACCTATCCTCCATTAAGAATCAAAATAGATCCATTGTACCCCTAATACAAAGTTACAGTGCCCTGTTACCATTAAAAAGTATATCCAGTTGTCTACACTTACTACACAAAACATAGCAGCTTTATACTGCTATTTCAAGCTGGTATTCTGTGCGAGGGTAGTCCTTTCCCGGTCAAATCAACCAGTTTGTGCTGCATCCTTATTACACTCCAGCATTGCCCTACTTCATATCTATCATGGTTTTTTGTCTAGGAGCCCACTGTGTAAATGCCGCCTATGATATCTACTGATGGCAACTGGCAACTGGGCACAAGCTGGGGAAATGTCTTTGAAAATATTTATACTGTTTTAAGCATGCAGGTTTTGTAACAATGTTTTCCTCCACTGCTAAAAAATAGATACCATTTTTATTAATGCAGTTCTGTCAATGTTGTATGTCACACTGTCATGTGTCTAGTTATTTTTGTAATCACTTTTGGCAAAAAGCGAAGTAGAATAAATAAATTCATTTCTTTTTCATTTATGATTTGTTTACAAATTGTCCACATTAAACATCAACTTTAAAAAAGTCACTTACTATTATAACTTTCACTTGCATTGCCCGTTAAATATAATAATACTAAAGAACTGACATATATTTTACCTGAAAGTTTATCCCCTCTATAAGGGAATCATGTAATGTAACACCTGGAAAGAGAAGATACACATAAATACAACACTGACTCAGATTATCCACATGATTTATTAAATTTAAATCAATTAAATATCACCCAAAATAAACAGTTGCACGATTATTTTAAAATAATTCATGCCAACTTTTTACATAAATAAATGTAACTTTTGTAAATCAAAATTACATTTATGTAGAGGTGGCGTGAATAAAAGTATGAATCCATTATAAATAATAGAAAAAATCATTCATATATTTCATAAAAATGCAATTACACTATAAAATACATATATTACAATAAAAATATACAGGGACAGCCTGAATAGAGCAATGAAATTGGAGTATTTTTAGACCTTATAAGACAATTGTTTTTAATAGAATAGCAGTGACAGACAAGCACAGCCCACCTGATTATAAGTGTATGCTGTGGTCCATAGACACCTACTTATATCCTTGATTAAGAATTAAAAATGTAAATACATTATCACCCCTGAGGGCTAAGATAGAATGTCTCATTATCTGTAAAGGATCACCTGTTCTGTACACTTATCACATGAAACACAGCAGCATTTAGTAGCTATTTACGCTGGTGTTCTGTGAGAGTGTAGTCCTACCGCTGTTAAGCTAACCCATTGATGCTGCAACCATGATATCAACAGCATCTACAAATTATATATATATATATTATAATGTAATAGTCATGTCAAAATGAATTGGCCTACAGCTATTTTTGTTAATTAGGTATAAGTGATCAATGACTTCATGTACCTTTATAAGTGTTCCTTTTTTCTCATATTCTATGGTGTTCATAAACAGCAGAAATAGGTTTTTTATGCAAATAATTCTCAAGAAAATAAGATATATTCAATTATAAAACATGGCTCTATGGCACAGTGGTTTAGCACTTAGTTGCAGCTCTGAGGTCCATGGTTTTGAATCCCGCAAGGATTGAGTGTTTATCCATATAAACATACTAGACCATCCTACAAATAATGATTCTAGCTCTGAATTTTGGTCCTTTTACAATTTATGTATGTAAACTACTTCCACAATAGAATATCAAATTCGACATAGAACCCAATCCTTATATTGAAGAGACATTCAATCTTAGTCTAAGGGCAAAATTACATCTGCATTTTGATTCTTATTTTGTGACAGATGTAGGTCTATGGCCCACATTATCCTCTTATCATTAGGTGGACTATGTGGCCATTTATTACCCTTAATTGTATTACAAAATCAAGAAACAACTTAGGCCAAAAATCAGTTACATATTATGATAAAATAATGTTTAAGGTCTATACTTTCATATGGTGAAAACAATTTTGTTATAAAATGCAGTCAATAAAAAGAAAATTATGAGCAAAGGAAAGATGTTATCATTGAATAATAATTTGAACTTGAAATGTCAATAAACTTCTAATCAAAGGTAGCTCTTTGAGGGTTGGCTTCTTTTAGTGCAATTATTTCTAATTGAATAGCCATATGTTAAATATATTATGTGGCATAAACTAGAATACACAAAGATAACACGGCAACTTAATATGCAAGCCAAAACAGCAGGCTATTCTCTGAGTACCGCTGTATGATAGACTTCACATTGTGGATATTTTCTTTGTTTAAAAGAAGCTCAATTGACAGTCTCATACAGGTAAGCAAAGTGTATGGAGGCTCCAGGGGCGTAGCTACCGCCATATCAGCCGTATCAACGATACGGGGCCCCCGGGGTACAGAGGCCCCGAACGTGTGTAAGCAAATATTCTAAGGACTTCTATGGGACAGGATGTTGGTTTGAACTGTTTGGCTAGCTTAGTTCCTAGGAATATTAATTGTAAGTAATAAATTATAATCAATATATAATTATTTTAATTCAGTGTGAGAGTTTTTGTTCCTTTTGTGAAAATCTTTACCCTTCATTTGGGCCTCCCGACAAATTTGGTACAGGGCCCCTCTAAGGCACGCTACTCCACTGGGAGGCTCCCTACTAGGTGGAGTTACAATCTCGTATGTTACAGAGTTGTAGGAAGTTAACGGATACAGGTGGCTCACAACCATGCAGTGAGACATTCCTTTACGATGATGATGATACCAACACATTCATAATCATTGCAGTTACACAAATAAGATTAAATGTAGCAAACTAAAGTGCTTCACCATATTGAAATAAAAAGTGTACACCATAACTCATAATATGCATAAAATAGCAGTGACATTATAATGGTTTAAAAATTTAAGTAGACAGTGAGTTTCAAATAGCACTATATTATACTCGTACATTTACCACTTAAGCAGGTATATGCAAGATTACATGCACACATGCAGTATGCATGTGCTTTCTGCACGATGCACACTGAGATTAATTTTATGCGAACATAGTTCTACTCAGTATTGCATTTTAACATTATAATTATGTCCTGCAAAAAACGACAAAAAAGCCCGGCCCTGATTGATTTCTTATAAATAAACTGCACCGCCAAGCGCAATACACAATATATTACAGTAGCGAAACAAAACCAACTAATCTAACTCTTTTAATCCCTATTTGTTGTGAAGCTTTATTATTACTACGATTTTTTTAAATATATAAATAGTGAAATCGATTTTACCATGGCTCTTCCCTTGGGCTGTCAATTTAGTTTTCAGCGTAATATCCAGCAATGTCAACACGAAAACATAACACCCTAAAATTTTCCGACACATTTTGACACTATTAACTGATATTTATCAATTTTAGTTCACATTTCTCAATAGCGATTAATATCTTCAATAAACAAACTAAGATTCCTGCTTTTTTAACTCACGAGATCTCCATCTATCCATCTACGCACGAGATACCATCATAAAAAAGTAGTCTGTGACGAGGTACGAGATATCCTACGAGTAGAATAAAAATAAAAAACCATATATTTATTCACAGATTCACAAAAACAGACTAAATAGCTTGCTTGCTACATATTTATATATCTATGGTAGAGACCAAGCTAGAGACTAGTGTTCTCTGTTCTCGAACGTTAAAAAAGCGAAATCTATAGAGCTGCTTACAAACGGTAATTTGTACCCAAAATCGGTATACAAAAATTAAAAAAAAAACAATATTCATTCAAATGTGTTTAAAATGAAAGTTACAGTTACAGCACATATACGTCCCACTGCTGGGCACAGGCCTCCCCTCATTTCTGAAAGGGTTTTAGGGCAAGGAAATGTCCACCGCGCTGCTCCAATACGTGTTTGCGAACTTTACGAAATATTTTTTTTCTTATTACTCAGAAATGCAGTTTTCCTCACGATATTTTCCTTCACTGCCGAGCACATGGTAACTCAATTTTCAATGATGCGGGCGGGGGTTCGAACCCGGGTTGCCCGTGTACTGTGAAATTTACAGCGAGCGCTAACCATCTACGCTACCACGGCTTCAAATGTATTTATTTTAAACATATTTTTATAAGTTTAATAAATAATAAGTACATATAGCATGTTGTACAATAGATACAACGAATTAACTATGCAAAATGCCAGTTATATCGATGTATATTATTTATGGAATATAAGGAAAATGTGGTTAAAATTTAGATTCACATCACCATTTATCTAAGGCTAAAATGTAGTTATTTTAAATTCTTTGTCTATGAGCTTAGAGTATATACAAATGAAGTAAGCTGTAGAGCGCGTGTCTCACTCATTGCCCATTATGCGAAGCGTATTACCCCCATTACTCTACACTGAATTAGGGTCCCAAAGCCCTTAATAAGAGAGGTGTAATAAGAGTAAGGCAATAAGGGTCCCTAATCATGACATCAAAGTGAAATCGGTCCGCCTTACTTCTTTATGATTGTAACACGAATGGATTGGCTTGACCACGGACTACGCTCTCATATAATACAAGCGTAAAATTGCAGCTTATAGTACGGCCGCTGAGTTATTACCGTAGATAGAGCATTGACTAGATAAAGCATTCGCGTATGCTTATGAGATAGAAATAGGCGGGAGGTACTTTCACTGGGTTACCAGATATTGTTCCATTTCCCCCGTTATGGGTTTATTTATATTCACAGCACTTACATTCATACAAAAAACTTAATTGTTACCATAAAAAAATGTTCTTTTATAATTCAGATGATTAATTAATTTCTCTTGAAAATACATTCTGTGACTAAAAACTACGGACGAAAACGCCGTAAAAACAGAATCATCATCATTTTTACTGGACATTCAATAACTCTTTGGATTTCGACGGCACTAAGTGAAGGCGCTAATAGTACAAAGTGTGATATCGCTAATAAATAACAATATGTTATGTATGTACTTAAATATTAATTGAGAATAAAAATATTAAATAATAAACAAAAATTTCCTTGTGTCGAGTTTTGTTGTTTTTACAAAAAAAAAACAATAATGTTTTAACATACCATTCCATCACAAGTTCAGTGATGAACACAGACCTTCGAAAGGAAAGGGTTTCCACTTAGGTTTTGTAGTACAAACACGGTTATGAGCCTACTCCCGCGATTTCCTGCATGTTTTGCTAAGTTAGTGTCTTGTGTTTTTTTTTTATACGATAAGGGTGACAAACGAGCACACAGTCCACCTGATGGTAAGTGGTTGCTGCGGCCCATAGACATCTACATCTATCCTTTGTTACAAATCAAAATGTAGATGCGTAGTCACCCGTGAGGACTAAGATGGAATGCCTCATTTCCAGTAAAAAGGGCCTCCGGCCACCTGCGCTCACCAAGCGAAGCGCAGAGGTAAACCTCTACTTCACGCTGGTTTTCTGTGCGGTCGTGGTACTACCCCGGTTCGAGCCAGCCCATTCGTGCGACAGCAAAAGCTGCCGCGTGGCTCTACCACTGTTTGTGTGCGGCAAGTTTTGGCGTACAAGAGAATTTGTCTGTACACGGGATATTACCCTGCGTCGTAAGGAATAATACAAGATGGGGATGGGGCAGCAGCAATTTCCCGATGAAAACTTAAAATAATAAATAACTGCGGTAAACCAGCATAACACATATTTTAACGTAGGCGTGGCAACTATGGCAAAAGTCATCCTATGAGGATATCTATGGAAGGCCTTTTTTAGGTGACTTACTTCTGGTTAGGTGTATGGAGTGTAGAGTAGAAGGAGGACCATCTCTGTATATGAAAAGTGTCCCTAAAAACGCGTCCAATAAGGGTGGCGCTGCAGTAGCATAGGATAAATTAAAAAAAAAGCGCGAAAATTTATTAGAATAAGATGGAGAAATAAACAATGACCGACCAATCCGCTTGGTTTTGTACTACGTAAATAGTTGAGGTTTTGTATACTGGCATTTTACTAACTACTCTAGTCATGGAATTTTATAAATATTTTAATTCAGCTGACTTCACTCCGTTTACAACAGCTATATTCATATCGTAGTTTTTCAGACGACAGCGCTATTGTGGTAGGTTTCGGAACCTCTATTTTCAGTATATATTGGGACACTTTTTCAACTTTCGCACCTTATAAGATGGTTCTCCTTCTACTCTACACTCCATAGTTAGGTGGCTTAATCATGTTACCTAATGGTTAAGGTGGTAAAATGTTTAGTTAATATACGTTGTAAAGCATCAACAAAGGGTTTGTTTTTGTAATATGTTGGAATATAAAATAAAAATGAATGTTTTATAATATTCTATTTTAATTTACCATGCAGTGTAAGATTATCTGCTATCTCATATCATTCCATGGGTGGTGTATGAGGCGACATAGGGAAACATCAAAGAAGATTAACAGCAGCATTGTCCTGATAACAGCTAAATAAAAAAAACAGTGGTTGACAACCAGCTTTCCAAGCGTTGAAACTATGCCAAATAACTATAATCATGTTTATTTTCAACAGTGGACTTTTGATAGACTGTAAAGATATATATTCTCTTTAAATGAAAATATACTGAAATTTAAAAAGGAAAAAGAACTAAATTTTGTGTACTTACACAATATTTAGAAATATTAACAATGTTACATTAAGTAAAAGAAATGAAAACACAATTATATATTAAATATAATTCAATAAAATCAAAATAAACAAACGATTACTTATTAATTTTTGATCACATTAATAAACAACAAATTTAACAAAATTTTTGTCTTCTTTCCTTGTAATTCTTCGTTGTAATTCTTGGTTTGAGTAGCTTTAGAATTTCTCAAAAATGTGCATTTGTAAACTTGATTTATACTTTTGCATAACAGAAATTCTTGGGTGCTGGTCGTTAGAATTGGATTAGAAGGGAGTATATATATATATATATATATATATATATATATATATATATATATATATATATTATTTGCCTTGTATATAATATATTCTAATGGTATAAATAATAAGGTTCAACTCCTAAACTATACTTAGATTGGTAATACTTATCTCTTGTCAAAAACATCTTTATTACATTATTTATGACAATTAAATAGAAATTATCATAATTACTACATTTATTTCTTAATTTATTTACACATTAATGTTTATAACACCTTTATAAAAGGGATTAAGGGTGGACTAAATGTCCCATTGGTGCCTACCAATATTCCCAGTCAGTTTTACAATTATTATTGCATAATAAATTATTCATTTGTATATTTAGGTCAGGACTTCAAATTACTTATTTATTTCTTTTATTTAAATCTTTATTTGCATATAACATGATAGTACAGATAACGTTCCAACATTTGTAAATGAGGATTCATGTTTAATCAATACATCTATAAGTAAATATTTTGTCATTGTCATGCCACCCAATTATTACAAGTCATAATAATACAGAATGTCAGCATTTGAAAATAAAATAAGCAATGCTAGTCAATTTTTAATACATACAGAACAATGTCAAAAATCATAACTACCAACAAGATCAAACTTATATCACTTATGGAGAAACAACAAGATACAACAAGAAATTATAACATTTAAAAAATTTATCTTAATTATATTATAAATTACATAAGTTAAGCATATTTAGTCCATCTAAAACAATGAGGCTTAAAATGTTTTGAGCATACACTGCTAAGTTTTGTTGGTTACCTATAATCACTACCAGTAGCGATTATCCAACAGTAATGGATAGCTGATTCCTTAGGAAAGCTGTGAAATAATATATTTTTTAGAAATTAATATATTAAATATATAGTACACTTTTATATCAAGGTATTTAACAAAAAAATCAAGTATGTGTATCTGTGCATAAATACAATACCTATAACAATTAAAACAATATCAATTGATTGAATTAAATAGCAAGTATATGTAAATGTAATGATAATATTATTCATACCAAACATTTAAAAAAATTATGTACATATTAAACTATAGATATTGTTGATTAATACATTTACAGCCTAACAAATGTCCTCCACCGCTGAACATAGACCTCCCACACAGTTTGTCTCCAAATAACTGCAGTTGCCAATTCTCCTGCCAAGCTAGGCAACTATCATAAAACCTATAACTTTTGACTTTTGATACTGACTAATGGTAACGGTAAGTATATTATCATCAAATTTTTTCTACATCATTAATTGAGAATATTATCTTAAGTTGTTGTGTTATTGTGTAGGTACCTTAAGATTAATACTTATTTATTTATTTATTATTTTATCTATGTTTATATTTATTTTTATATTAGCATGACACATTTTTTAAAATAAATATTGTAATGTAATTGTTGCTAATGTATAATAGAAT